AATACTCCAGAAACAACAGTTTTTGATAAGTGATACTCGGAGACCTTGGACCATGGAATCAGCTTCTAGTTGGGGGTCATTGTAGAAGGGTGCCCTTCTGGTATTTCAGTAACTAAATTCTGATGGCTGAGGCCCATAGTGGATTTGTTGCAGGTTGGATTTCTCTCTACAATAGAATCATGTTATAAGGTGGTTTTAGTGTAATACAATATAACATTCTTTATGTATTTTTAAAAGTTATTTTCTGGATTGATAATAAATGTACATGGTACAGAATTTGTACTGTGCAAAGCCAGTAGTCTGTTCCCCATCCCCATCCCCTATCTTTGTTCTTCAGCTGCCCAGTTCCTCTCCCTTCTCACAGTGAGGGGTCTCACTTTCTGGTGTGTCCTTCCAGAGATAGTCTGTGTAGATAAGAGTTGTTATGTGTTGGCAAGTTGGAACTGTCTCATAGCTGACTCTCCAGCAGTTTTCCAGAGGCTGTAAAGCGCATAAGGGGAGGTGGCCCATCTTTTCCCCTCAGAACAGCTGGTGGATTTTGAACTACCTGTAGCACAACTTCATATCCACTAGGCCACCAGAATTAATGAGTAGATACTGCTTTGTTTTATGATAGTAAGCTATCCACCTGTGCAGTTTTGCATGTTACTTTTTTCTTCTCTTTTATCTTTATTGTTTTATGTAAGCACTTAACAAGAGCTCCTGCCTAAAACTGTGTACATAGGCTATAATTTACATAGCTATTATCAAAGAGCTCTATTGGCCTAGTCGATGGAGAGTTGTGCTGCCAACCTAAAGGTGGGTGGTTTGACTCCACCATCTGTTCTGATGAAGAAAGATCAGAGTCGGGTTGCAACTTGACAGCAATGAGTTCTGGGTTTTTAAACTTAATGTTTTCTTATTGGACAATATTTAAATTGTGATAACAAAAGAAAATATAGGAATGCATATCTTCTTATCTACTTTAGTTGTACATAATGTGTCTGTGCAGTTAAGTTACTAAGTGCAGAATTGGTTGTGTGAAAGAGATTTACAGTTTTGCTGATCTTGACAACTATAACTTTCCACATGAATTGTAATAATTCACTTCCCAAGCAGAGTGTAAGAGTGCTAGTTTATGCTGATTTTTTTCCGATAAAATATTATAATGTCATGACATCAAATCACTTTGCTTCCTTTCTTTTTAAAGAAACGCTCAGGTGAGTTTTAATTTCAAAGGTTTTTCCGTGGTATATTCTTCTGTTCCTGTCTTTCAGAACTGGTTTTATTTTTATTTTTTTTTTATTTTTTTATGTATCTCTGAATGATGTCAGGCGCTGTTGTGCTGGCTTCAGCTAATGGTGATAGAGTTTATAAAATGTTTTTGTTTGCCAGTCTAATAGATAAAGTGATTTTCTTTACCTCCTTGATTTTCATGTATTTAAAATCCATTTGTTGGGGAATGATCGCTGCAGCACTTTGAACACTGCCAGATCTTGTACCATCCTCACAGCCGCTCCTGTTCTGAAGCCCCTGGCTGCTTGCTGCATTAATCCACTTTGCTGAAGGTTTTTGTCTTTTTTGTTGACGCTCTACCAAGCATGATGTCTCTCACCTTGGACTTTTTCCTCCTGATAACATGCCCAGAGTATGTGAAATGAAGTCTCACCGTCCTTTCTGTCACATTTGGGGACTCTCACTGTTTCCGATGTTTTCCTAATGCTGTTGCACGCCCTCAGCAAGGAGGGTTGACATAGGGGCTGCAGCAGTGGACCCCAGCACAGTAGAGACTGAGGACTGGGCAGGATTGAGCAGTGTGTGTTCTGGTGTCGCTATGTGTTGGAGCCGCCTTGGTCACACCCTAGCAACAGCTGGTATAGTGTAAACATTTTTATTTGCACTAAGAAACAAAGTCATTCTGGAGACTCGAAGGCACAGAAGGAGCTCTGGTGGCCTAGTGGGTGAGAAGTTGTTATTGCCAACCTAAAGGCAGATGATTCAAGTCCACGGGCTGGGATTTACAGCCTCTGAAAAGCTGCCAGGGGGTAACTATGAATCTCTTCTGACTCGGTGGCACCGAATTGTTTTTGAAACAAAGTCATCTATGGCATTTATTCACTGTATTGCAGGATATGCTTTATTGTGGTGGTCTCGAACCTAACCTGCACTGTCCCTGAGGTGTTCTTGGATTCCCAAGAGGCAGGCCAAGAAGGTTGTCATGCTGTTAAGTTGGTTCTAACACATAGGGACGCAATGTATGAAAGAACGAAACCCTACCCAATCCTCAACATCCTCAGCAATCTCTCTTGTGCTGAAACGTGCCAGCCCATCTTGTTGAGAATCTACAATTCTGTTACAGGCTCTACTTTTCTAAGCATGATGTCCTTCTCCAGGGAATGATCCCTCTTTATAACGTGCTCAGTGTAGGTAGGACAGAGGGCAACCGTGCCTACTCCTACAGACCCACCCTCACAGTCTGCTGTGTTTAAGGCCATTTGTTGTGTTCACGTCATCCATCTATGCCATTGAAGAACTTCCTCTTTTTACCCCCTCTGTCCTCCAGGTATTAGTCCCTTCAGATAACATACCCCAAAACTCACTATCTTTGCTTCTGTGTAGCATTTTGGCTTTACTTCTTTCAAGACAGACTTGTTTTGTTCTTGTAGCAGTCTGTAGTAGATTCAGTATACTTTGCCAACAGCACAGTTCAAAGGCATCAGCTCTTTTTTGGCTTTCCTTCCTTCCTGTCCAACTTTCACTTTCTTATGAGGTGAGTGAAAATACCAGACATGGGGTGTGGTGTGGGGTGTGTGTGTGGGTGTGGGTGTGGGCGTTTGTCTTAGTCCTCAGGGTAATGTCCTTGTTCTTTGACATTTTAATGGATCCATGTAAATGAAATCCCTGATGGTTTCAGTCTTTTTTCTGTATTATGTTTGTTGGCCAAATTGTAGAGTGAAGATGCTTGTTTATGTTGAGATAGATTTCATACAGAAGGGCTTTGATCTTCATTCAGTAAGTGCCTCAAGTCTTCCTTGTTTTCAGTCAGAATAATTGTGTGGTCTGTACAGCACAGCTTGTTAATGAGTCCTCCTTTAATCCTAATGCAGCATTCTTGTTCTTATGCTTCAGCTTCTCAGATTATATCCTCAGCATACAGGTTAAGTAAGTATGGGGGAGGATACAACCTTGACTCATACGTTTTCTGACTTTAAATCATGCAGTTGCCCCTTGTTCTATTTGAATGACTGTTTCTTGTTATATGTACAGGTTCTGCATGAACAAAATTAAGTATTGTGGAATTTACAATGTAATCCATAATTTGTTGTGATTGGATGTTGTCATATAGTTAGTAAAGCACAGATAAACATCTTTCTGGTAGTCTCTGCATTTAGCTAAGGTCCCAGGTGATGCTCCCTTTGTTCCATGCCCTCTTCCACATCTGGTTGAATTTCTGGTAGCGCTCTGTTGTTTTGCAGAGCTGGATGACAGGGGTTTGTTGTGTGTGCTGCTCCAGCCACTTTTGGATTCTCACCAACAAGATTTTACTGCAGTGTGATAATAATGAAATTGTTTCATAATTTCTGCATGCTATTGGATCACTTTTCAGTGTTCTTCTTTATGTATTTGGCCACCAGAACTAATTTCATTAAACTCACTGTTGTCAAGTTGATGCTGACTGATTTCTGATATCCTAAGTCTTAGCAGAGCAGGTTGTGTTTCTCTCTCCCAGAGTGGCTCAGGCTGCTGACCTCTCAGTTGTAGCAGGTACTTAACCTCCAATGCCATTACTGTAGTTCTTTAATTATTTTAACCTAGAGACTAATCCAGGTATTACTGATTAAGAAGTTTCAGTGTGGAGTTTTGTGGTTTGTTTTTTTTTTTTCTTCTTTCCTGTTCATTCTTGCATATTTTCCCCTAAAGTAAACTTTAGTAGCACTTAAGTGTTTGTTTTAATTCTAGTTGTAAAATTATTTTATCTTACATTTTCGTCTTGTTTGTTTATGCCTTCAGAGTGGCAGTAATTATTATGGATCATAGTAATTCCTACATCGCCTATTTTATTTTTATGAGCATGCTGTTAAATATTCATAAATGGAATTACCTGGAGATTTATTTTGGGGTTTTTTATTATCATTTTGTCTAGTTTTGATTCTTAGAAACAATTTAAACCCCCCCTTGTGTTTTTATTGTGAAATATTGACATTTTTTCATCAAAGATTTTGTGTAGCATTCACATGTGAAATTTAGAGGTGCTTTTTGTTTTTTGTTGTGGTGTTATTGTTTTGTTTTGTTTTAAGGAAAGTAGACTAGTTTTTTTTGTTTTTTTAAAATTCTTGTGTGTGTGTGTGTGTGTGTGTGTGTACCATCAAATAGGATCTGACTAGTACAGGAGATTGTTCCTCCTTCTCCAGCAAACATCTGGTGGATTCGAACTGCACGCCTCTGGGAGTGCAGTGCAGCTTCTTGTCACTAGGCCATGAGAGCGCCCTAAAAATAGACTAGTTCTTAATGAATTTTTTTTTTAAGTCATTGTTTAAGAGGGTGAGACCCGGCTGCTCCTTGGAGGCAAGGATTTCTGAGGCTTCGTCTGACATACTTTGGACATGTTGCAAGGAGGGACCAGTACTTGGAGAGGGAAAACATCATGCTTGGGAGGGTGGAGGGACGGCGCAGGAGAGGAAGACCATCGATGAGATGGATTGATTCAGAGGTGGGGGTAATGAGGGTAGGTGTGTAAGAGACTATGAAATTGGCTGAGGATAGAGCAGGGTTCAAGGCTGTTGTACATAGGGTCACTGTGAGTTGCAAGCAAGTCAGTAGTATGTAACAACAACAAGGGGAAGGAAATAACTTTTTTTCCCCCTTTCTCACCTGGAATCCATTTTGTTAACTTCTGTTTTCTTGGGATAGTAAGCAAATTATCAAAGTGTTCAAGTGTATATGGGTAGATGGAGATAGTATACTTGAACTTGCTATATTTTTTATATTCTTTTTGTTTATTTCTTTACACTCTCCTACAGGAACAGGAAATATAGTGGTAATTATGGTTAGCTACCTCAAAGGAAGAGAACTTTTGGATCTGGTACAAAAAGGAATTCCAGTAAAAATGACCATAAGGATTGGCACCCGTCACGTCCAGGAGTACATCAGCGGTCAGTCTGTGGTGTTTGTGGCCATTGCTTTCATCACCATGATGATTATCTCATTAGCCTGGCTCATATTTTATTACATACAGCGTTTCCTATATACTGGCTCACAATTTGGAAGTCAGGTAATGGTAACTTTTTAAAAGATAATTTGTAAATATTTCCTCTATGTACATTAGTTGATATATATTTTAGTGTCTTTCAAATTACTTCTCATGTATAATATTTATGGAATTATTATTTGTTTTAGAATAACTTTAAAGTTGAAATATATTGAATTTTCTGATTTTTAGGAAATTGTCTATCTTTAAATCTGGATCATTTTCCTGCATGTTTGGCTCCTGCAGATACACTTTGTCCTTTTCCAGACATAAAGGGATGACAGAAAGACATGAGCTAGCGTGCACCTGTCCCTCTGTCCCCCTGGTTCCCTGACTAGGCCTGAAGGCGAGGAACAGAGTGGAAGGGACTTCTCTGTCTCCACTGAGGAGCAACTTTCAAAGCTTATCTACAGAGAGACCCTGTCTCAGTGACAGCAAAGAGGAGGGCGTTTGAAGAGCCAGAGATTTCCAAAGGCAGGCCTTTTGGATTTTTAAACTTAGCACTCTAGTCCTGAGAAGCTGATCGCCCTGGTTCTAGGCAGTAGTTCATAATTTCTGGGTCATCTCTCGCCTGACCTCCAGGAAGAGCTCTTTGCTTTTAGGGATGCCAGTAGTGTCTGAGTCCCAACCTCAGTTTATTAGTATCTTGCTATTTAAAGATAAGGTTTGGTACCTTCAGACACAAAATGGAAAGTAAATATCCTTTTTCAAATAAGTTACATATGGTTTTTCTGAACTTAAGGCTTAGATGGTATAGTTTTATTTTTCATGTAAACATTTAATGTTACTTTAAACATTTTCTTCACTATGTTCTTGTGGTTGACTTTTAAAGAATAGTAGTTTAACTTAAAATTTTAAATAATAACTTTTTTTCTTACTCAAGAGCCATAGAAAAGAAACTAAGAAAGTTATTGGCCAGCTTCCACTTCATACTGTAAAGCGTGGAGAAAAGGTAATGTTTTCATGAGGTTGTGTTTTGTTTTGTTTTGTTTTTTCTGAAGGAGGCATGCATTTATATGTTTAAGAAATCTTTCCAGTTTGAATTTAAGTAAATTACATTCAAATTTAGTCCTTTAGTCACACCAGCTGCATTTCACAGCACAGCTATTTCCATTACTAGAGAAAATTTGATATATTGATGTCTATCCCATACATTCCTGGTAACTTTAAGTTCTTTTCTGTAAAATTTGAATCTAAACATTCATTCTCTGATTCATTTAATTACTGGGAGAAAAAAAACCCAAAAGGATTTGTGGAGGAAGAGAGAAAGGTATTTTTAAAACAAAAGAAATATTTTGCCATGGTCGGTCTGAGACGTAAAGTTGAAAATCATAACAATTCAGAGCATTTTGAATAGGATGAACTCTGAATCTAGATCCTTGGATACTTAAAAGGTCATTTTGTTAGCAATAGGAAAACTGTTGCTATTTGCATTTATTCTATTGGCAGTCCATATTCTGTGCTATCTAGTGTTAACAGGGTAGACTTGTAGTTAGTTAAGTGAAAGCTCAGTTGTTTTGATTTTTATCTCACTGTGTTGAGATATAATGTGGCCCAATCTCCAGGTACTGTGCCCCTAACATAAGTATCAGTACATCAAAAGCTTGTGTTGGTATTTATCTCTTACTTTGACCTACTTAAAGGATAAAACAAAAATAGTATTCATTATATTATAGACTTTTTAATTTTATGAGCTTTAGAATCTAGTATTAGTGGTTACTGGGATATATTTACTCTTAAGATAACTTGTATTGTTGCTTAACATTTGTTCCGAAAGGAAAATTATATTAAATAACAAACCCAGTGAGTTAGTAAATAAAAAACAATTCTTTCTTGCAAGAATAGCCAAGATGGAGAATACACGTGACATCAAAACACAGTGACAAGGAAAGCAGGCACTATAAATACTCTGTATCTAACATTATGAAGCATCTAAATGAAACAGGATATTCTAGAAATAAGGGAACAGTCAAGTTATCCACAGAAATGTTGAAAATCTGAAAAAGTCAATATAATGAAAACGATTTGTCTGTTAAAAACAAAACACTTCAAGCTCACTACAGTGAAATACGTAAAACCTTTAGGTCAAATGATTTCTGTGCTTCTGTGTCATACAAAGTTAGGATCATTCTCAGTTTGTTTTATAGAGTTAGCTAAATTCTTACTAATTCTTAATCAAAACTTGAAAAAGTAGAAATAAGGAATCTGAACCAGTGTTGTTGTTATGTGCCTTCAAGTCAACTACAACCCATAGCAACCCAGTGCACAGTAGCTCTGAACCCTGCTCTGTCCTCAGTCTGTCTGTCTCTGACACACCTGGCTCTCATTAGCCCAGTTATTGTGTTAGTCCCTCTCATCTGGGATCTTCTTCTGTACTGACCTTCTACCCTTCCAAGCATGATATCCTTCTCCAGAAACATACCTCCTGCCAACATGCCCAAAGTAGGTGAGACTGAGTCAAAATCCTTGCCTTCGGAAAGCAGCATGGCTTTACCCTCACCAAGACAGACCTGTTGATTCTCTTGGCAGTCCATGTCATGCTCAGTAGTCTTCACCAGCACTACAACACAAAGGCATCAATTCTTCTGTTTTCCTTGGTCATTGTCCAGCTCTCTGATGCAGAGTGTAATTGCAAAGACCTTGGTCTGGGTCAGGCACACCTTAGTCTCTAGAGCTACATCCTTGCTTTTCAGCACTCAGGAGAGGTCTCTGACAGCAGATTTACCTAGTGCAATTTGATTTCCTGACTGCTGGTGCCAAGAATGTTGATTGTGGCCCCAAATAAGCTGAAATTGTTAGCAATATCAATTTCTTCTCCATTTATCATGATGTTACCAATTGGCCCAGTGGTGAGAATCAGTGTTTTCTTGATGTTGAGCTTCAGTCCATATTGCAAACTACAGTCTTTGATCCTCCTCAGTTTCAGCAAGTAAGGTTGTGTTATCAGTATAACATAGGATGTTCATGAGTCTTCCTCCAATCCTGATGCCACATTCCTCCTTATAAAGTCCAGCCTCTTGAATGATCTATTCTCTATACAGATTGAAAAGGTATGGACACAGGACACATCACTGATGCACTCCTTTTCTGAGTTTGGACCATACAGTATTTCCTTGCTCAGTTTTGACACCTGCCGCCTCATCCAAGTATAGGTTTTACATGAGCATGGTCAAATTCTCTGCCCATTCTTCTCAAGGTTAGTCACAATTTGCTATGAACCACACAGTCAGATGTCTTTGTATAGTTGATAAAGCACAGATAGACATTCCTCTGGTACTCTTTGCACTTGGCCAAGATCCAGTGTTGCTAGGGGCCATCTAATCAGCTGCAATTCTGGTCATAGTGACCCTGTGAACAACAAATCTGAACCTTGACCTTCTCTTCACCATCTTTGTAATCTCCGATAAGCTTATTCATGCCTGTTATTATAGTCACTGTGTCCATCTTGTTGAGAGTCTTCCTCTCTTTCTCCAAACCTTCACCTTTCGCAGCATGGTGTCTTTGAGAAAGACTTGCTCTCCCTGACCACCTGCCCCAGGTATGCGAGATGAACTTCCACCATCCTTCTCTCAAGGGAGCTTCCTCCGAAACAGACTTGTTTGTGGTTTAAAGGCATAATTTTACTCTCCTTACCAGGAAGTTTCAGTCCTTAAATATAAGAAGCACATTCATATGTATAATTTACTGAAAGGAGAGTCTCTGAGAACATGAGTCAATTTCTATTGTTATCCTGTAAATATGCAGTGGGATCTCTGGTGGAATAGGCTGTAGAGGGTTGCACTGCTGACCTGAAGCTGGGCGCTTTTTTCACCATCTAAATCTGCCAGCCGCGTGTTGTTTGCGTAAATCTACATATTAGATATTATTTTTTCTCATTTTTACTTATTCTTAAAATAATTTTTCTTGTGGCTCACAGTAATAAGTTGTGAATCATTAGGGATTTAAAAAATCATTGCATCATGTATACATGGCATATAATATCTTACTTTAGATGCAAGGGATTATTTAAAATATTGCTTGTCAAGTTCATTTTAATCTAGTCATTGATAACAATATACACTATTCATGGCCAAATATAGGAAAAGCAATGAAAGTAGGACCCTTAGTAAAGTGGAGACATGCCAGAGGAGGAAAACATTAACAAAGGAAAAGGGTAAGACGTCATGGTCACAAGTGGGAAACTTTTGGAACTTGAAAAAAGAAGACAGTCTTGTTGAGTTTTGACTCATGGATTTCACTGTATATTTTAGCAGTTATTTCTATTCCAGTTATTTCCCCCAGGATGCATAATCTATGCTGTATACTTTCACTCAGATCACAGTAAGAAGTTTGCAGCCTAAACCTATGTGAACATTTTCACTGTTAGACCTGTACTATCATTGGTGATCACCAATTGAAATGTTAACATGAAATTTATTTTATAAATAAATAATACATGTTGTGTACCATCAAGTCAGAACTGACTCATAACTGACCCTCCTGGCAGGTTTCAGAGTCAGTTAATTGCAAGGGAGGAAATTGCTCATTCTTCTCCCTCTAGAGCAGCTGGTGGCCTTGAACTGCCCACCTTCAGGATTGCAGCACAGCTTCTTGCCAGTAGAACACCAGCCACTCCTTACTCTATGTTTTAAAATTATTACATAAGGACAGTGTGGTCTATTCCAAAAAATTAACTTGATCGAGTTCCAGCCACACGCAAACTCTGAGAGAACTTGATTGGCTTGTCTAGAGTCAGGTGGCCTTTCTGTCCTCACCTGCCTTGTTGACGTTGGCGGTGCTGGTGTTAGGGCTGTTGCTGTGACCGTGCCCTGTTCTGTGCCACTCCCATGATTTCTGCCTTGCTCAAGCCCATTGTTCTGTTCACTGTGTCAGTCCATCTCATCATTGTTGATGGGCTTCCTCTCTTTCTCTCACCCTTCACCTTTCTCAGCACAATGTCTTTGTCCTAGGACTAGGCCCTCTTGACAGCATGCCCAGAGTGTATGTATGAGAGAGAATTTCACCATCCTTAACTACCTCTAAAGAGCAGCCAGTTGCACTTCAAAGACAGATTTGTTTGTTCCATTGTCTGTCTGCTCTGAGTCACTGAGGGAATCTGGTGACTTGGTGGTAAGGAATTGCACTACCAAGCCAAAGGCACAAAGTTCAAATCCACCAGCTGCTCCACAGGAGAAAGGTCTCTTTCTGTGTGATTTACTGCCTCTGAAAATACAGGGTCAGCTGTGGGTCAGTTCCAACTGGACAGTACACAACAACATTCATGGGATACTCAGTATTCTTCACCAGCGTCACAATTCAAAAGCATCAGTTCTTCTTCATCCATCCTTAGGCCTTAAGCAATTGAAAATGCTGTGACTTCTCAAGGGCATCTTAGTTGTTAGACTGACATATTGCTCTTTAGCACTTTGGGCAGGCCCCTTGGCAGCGGATTTTCCTCAAAGCAAAAAACACCTTTTGATTTTTTGACAGCTGCTACCATAGGTATTGATTGTGGACCCAAGTAAAATGAAATCCGTTGTTGATAAGACTTAATTGGTCGACAAAAGGGCACCCAAAAAAGTAGGAAACGAGAAACCAAAATTACTCTGAAGTGGTTTCTTGGATAGATTCTTATTAGTTAAACTTTTGTCTTGAGGCTGTTTAAAATTTTTTTTCACAGTATGATAGATGAAAGGAGATAGGTTGATGTCTAACTCTCAGTACTGATTAGAGTAAATCTTTGCATTTAGTCATGTGTCTTTTTCATTTGCAAATTAAGAGCTTACTGAATATTCGTTCTCTTTATAGTATAAGTTTTAGATTTGGAAAGAACTTACATGGTAAGACAAACATTTTCTTTTCTACAATTCTTAAAACATGAACACTAGTAAACTTTCACCCCAGCTACAATAAAAACAAAACGAAAGCCCATTAATAGTCCAATACATAAACATTGTTCAGTTCAGATTAAGTGGATATGAAATTTTTCATTTTAACCAGCTCATTTAGTGTTGTTGATTTTAAAAAGCCTACTTCAATTATCTATGTTCAGTTTGAGATTCTATCAGTATAGAATGGGATTCATAAATTTTTTTTACTCACAACGTATAGTATGTTAGTTTTATGTAGTAAACCCTTTTTTTCTTTTTACAGGGAATTGATATTGATGCTGAAAATTGTGCTGTGTGTATTGAAAATTTTAAAGCAAAGGATATTGTCAGAATTCTACCATGCAAGTATGTTCTTTTCACCTCTTAAGAACTTTTAATGGCATTAGAAAATTACCTGCCAAGATTAAGGTTTTTGACAAGAGTTATATTTCTTGTATGATAAGATCTTACTGCTCTGTGATCATCTTTACCTTTAGGAAAGAAGCTTGGATTTAATATTGTCTTCAAGGCTTTGGTACTGTATTGCTTAAAAACAGTTTGACCTGTTACCTGTTCTGGCTTTTGGTCCCATTAACTAGAGACATTATTAGAACTTCATTGTCTGTTTAGTAATGCAATAAAGCAAGCTGTGTTAGGAACAAGGAAACTGAACCATGAAAGACTCAGAGAAGAGTGCTTGAAGTGACCCTCATGGAGTAGGTTAGGGAGGGCAGTGGCTTGCTGTGTGCCCACATTTATATTCTCTTTGGGATTGTGTAAAGCACATCATTTTGCTTTCATTATAGTGAAAAGTCTTCACTCAAACAGGAAGTTTTGATTCCATTTTAATGTTAGGATACTTGGTTAATAAATAACTTTTTAGATTTGCTTTACTAGTAGGAGGACTGACTTTGTGTACAGAAATTATAATGTGCATCAAGGCTTTGATCAGTTGTAATACCTCACACCTGTTAAAATCAAGTCACAAGTTAATATATAGTGCTTTTAAAATACATACATATTTCATATATATATGAAAATACCTGCATATATACATATGTATTATATGCAGGTCCCTTATCAGAATAGCAGTTTAAAATAAAGAAGTTTCTTGAATACAAGGAACTTGCCTAAGTATACAGAAATTTATATGAGGTTGGTGGTGTAGATATTTAATGAATTAGAATCAGTATTTCTTAGAAGATTTTTTTTAAAAATTTTTACTCTAGACTGACTTAGGGTTAGTTTTTCTGACTTGGAAATGACGCTGTTGTTATGTATCATTAAAGTAAAAACTGACTCATAGCTGATCTTCTAGCAAGTTTTCATAGGCAGTCAGTTGTGTGGGAGGGAGTTGCCCATCTTCTCCCTTGGAGCGATTAAGGGATTCAAACTGTGTGCCTTTGTGTTGGCAGTGCAGCTTCCTACATAGAAGGCTGTGTATGTGAGGCAAATTTACTCTTACAGCATTAGGTAATATCCTAATGATTGAGTCAGAGTGCACTTGACTTCAGCATTAGTGTATATGTAGGTTACTTGTCTGTGGGTTACTCTTAAGCATTAGTGTGTGTGTGTGTGTGTATATATATATATATATATATATGTTACTTATCTGTAAGTATGTTTCCTGGTTCTTATAGTTTGGTTTTTATTTTCTCTAGAACTTTTTTTGAGGACTTTGTTGTATAAACTCAATAAAGCTAAGAAGTTTCTTTGTTGTTTTGGAAAGTTTTTTTCTTTGGGGTGAATTTTCTGTCTGTAAACAGAAAGTTCAGAAGATAAGCTATGTTTCATAATAAAGTATTATTTTTAACTAGATGTTAGATTTTTGTTTGAATGTATACATTTAAAATAATAATAATGATAGCATACAATTATTTAGTATTTGCTGTATGCCTGATATAGTTGGGAGCACAAGTTTTTACTCTTTGGAACAGCCCTCTCCTATAGGCACTGTTATCCCATATCTAGTGTGAGCAAAAATTGAGGGCAGAGAACTAAGTAGTTCAGAGTTACACAGCTGTCCTACAACAGAGCTGACATTGGAGCCCCATTTGTCTGACTGATCAAATCCTTATTGTCTTCACCCTTTGTCATGCATAGAAAACATAGTTTCTATTACGTTGGAGGAAAACTTAGCCAACAAAGATGAAATCACTCAATGGATGTCTTTTTCAGATTTCAAAAATGATAAGTGCTTATTGCAGACAATTTTAAAGGTATTTAAGAGAGAAAATAAGTACTTTTTGAGCCTGCCACCTAAAGTTGACTTAATATTTTATTGTATTTCCATTTGAATCCTTTTAAGGACACATACAAAGATACTATAAGGTTATTTATGCCATATTTGTTCCCAGAATGGTTTCAACTAACTTTGAAGGTTAATCCTTCCATAAACCATGTAACATCTGTAGAGGGAAAAGAAAATTTTCTTTAAGTGCCAGTTTCTGTTTAATGTGAAAAATGGAAATCATTACTTAGGGTAGTTATTTAGAAATGAATGTTGATTTTATTTTTTGTTAATTTGATGAGAGGATTAGTTGATAGAATGTTTTATCTTTTTAAGATATAAAAATAATACATACTTAATTTTTTTAGGCATATTTTTCATAGAACATGCATTGACCCATGGCTTTTGGATCACCGAACTTGTCCAATGTGTAAACTTGATGTCATCAAAGCCCTGGGATATTGGGTTTGTTACATTTTTGCTTCTATTCAATTGCTGCCCCATGAGTTTCTTATTGACCAGAGTCAAGAGAGTGAGGAATGCACTAAAATGCTCCTTCTAACATGTGGGTCTTGGGAGAGTTCCTTTTTATTAACAACAGATTCTTAAAGGCATTCCAAAGAGTGCATGAACTAAGCCTTTGATAGTAGATACATACAGTAGGATGTGTCTCAGAGAGTTTGTAATTACTTGTAGAGAAGTACATTTCGGCATGCTACCCAGAAAAATGTGCATGTGCTCATCAGCTCTGTATGCACAAATGATGATGTTAAGAATGGATAGGGTCTGGTATATTCTCCGGGTCAAGGTCTGTGTTTTATATATTAGGCACTTTCTAATTAAGGAAAAATGAAAGATGAGATACTGACAACCTGTGCTGAATGCCTTATATACATTTATTGCGTTTAACTCTCAAAACGACTGCATGAGCAAGAAACTGTTAACTATTGTTAATTTGCTAAAAACAAAAAAGCCCCAGCAAACCGTTTTAAGCTTAGAGAAACTTAGTAACTTGCCTACGTCACACACTAGTTGACAAAGAACCAGCTTTGAGGCAAAAGTTTGCTTAACTACTGCATCACCAGAAAGGAAGAAGTTTTTCTCAGTTCTTTATGTTATTTTATTGTTTTGAGACACTCATGCAAACTGAGTATCTCAAAATATCTTCGATTAAATAACGAACAGTTCTGAAGTAAAGATCTTTGAAAAAAAGATAATTTAAATATTAAGTCTGAAGGGGCCCTGGTGATAACAATGATTGAAGGGGCTCAGTTTGCTTCCAGAAGGTTAGTGATTCAAACCCAGCAGCCTCTCTGAGGGGAAAAATATAGGACAGTGCTTCCATAATGATTTACAATCTTGGAAAGCCAGTGGGAAGTCCTGCTGTGTCGTGTAGCATCACTAACTGTCAGAACCAACTCCACAACAGCGAGGTAGCCTTTAGTTATCGTATCATTAAGCAACAAGTCCCGAAGGCAGGCAGTTATTACCCAGAACTGCAAGTCTGTCTGAAATGTCGTCTCATCTTGTAGCTTAGCGTATCTTCAAAAGATCCATGAGACTACTCCCTTAATAACCACTGTAATTTTCTGTGAATTATATGTTTTCAAGTGTGAATTCCAGAAGGTCCTACCTGTAAGCATGCGTGAGAGGAGCAAGGTCAGCATTCAAGAACGGCGCTGTGTGGCCTCACCCAACTCTGATGATGGGCAGAGTTGGTTTTTTTTTCCCTCTCTCTCTTCTGGAACTCCTAAATTTTTATGTATTCCTTGTTTTAAATAATTACAGTTTTATTTAACATGATGTCATAGGCTTGACTCATCCCCTCCTTGCTCCAGGGGCTAAAATAGAGAATGAGCCTTTGTGAGTGGTATATTTAAGTTAAATAAGGTGAGTATTCTTGCAAAGCTTTAGAACTTCCTCTCTTTATTAGGTATATACTCTGAACACATGTTGTTGTTGTTGTTAAGTGCCATCATATTGAGCACAACTCATAGCAACTCTGAACCAAAGACCTGAACACTGTAACTATTATCATTTCTTTAAGTTCATAGAGTTTCCAGAGGCATGTTGTTTAGGAAGTAGTTGCCACTCCTGCTTCTAAGCCTGTGCCAATCTGGGAGCTCCACCAAACACTGTCTGCCATGGGCAACCAAAGTGGCATTTGACACACCAGCGGGCACAGCGTTCAGCATCCATCACAGCAACCGAAAGTTACCTCAGTACAGCAAATGGACAGACTAGTGCTGTACCAGTTAGAAGAAGGTTTGCCACAAACACACCAGGCCCAGGCCCAACTGACTTTTTAATAGAAAGGCCTACCCACCAGGTACTGATTGGCCCTAAACAAGAAGAGGCTTTCAGCCCACAGCTCATTCTTAGCTAAATCCAGCAAATCCAGGCAGCCCACCCTCAACCAAAACAGGAGAACCCACCTTCCAGAATCTAACCGCTCCACACACAGCCTCCAGGTTGGTGCCTCTGAACACATACTAATTATTTTCTGCATTACTCAGTAATTTTAAACCTGCCTTTCATTTCTAGAAAGAGAACACTTGGCAGTAAGCATTTCACTGACCTGACCACCAAGATGATTCCTCATGAGTTTTGTTTGTAGAAGTACAGCCACATTCTTTTTTCATTTCCTAAAAATCAGGGTTCTTTGTTTTAATAAAATTATTCATTTATTAAAATACTCATTTCAGAAGAGCTAGTTTATCCACAGAAAGTCTTGCTTTCTTATTTTTTTAAGAATGAAAACCTACATCAACTTTAAAATCAAGCTAAGAATTAGCTTGTCTTTTGTTATTATTTGCTTTTCTTGTGTTGGTGGTTCTTGTTGTGTATCATGGAGTTCAGCCAACCCCTGGCTGATGTTCATTGTGTTGTTAGAGAGAGTGAATCGCAGGGGAGGCAACTGCTCATCTTTCCTCCTTGGAGCAGCTGGTGGATTTGAACCAACATGCCTTTGGGTAGCAAAACAACTCCTCAGCATTTGAGTTCAGAGTTGGGGAAGCCAGCTCTCAGGCGAGTCTCTCTCCCTTGGACTGGGAAGAAGACTTTGGTCTCTCTGAGCATCTGTTGTGGCCCATCCTTCTTCGCCCATCTCTGCTGCTTTCATGTACTTGTTTAATCCCTTATATTAAGAGATGATTAAAACAAAGCCTACATTTTTCCTATCACATTAACAAAGTCAGTCATTTGTTATAGGGATTATAGCAACAAACATAAAAGTTGGAATTTACAGTCTTTCCCCCCCCCCAAAAAAAATTTAAGAATTAATTTTTAAAATTGAAAGACAAATTTCCTCTTGAGTTGGTGGCTCTTCCTGATTTGGACATTAGGGGGGCCTGTGACTTTGTTCTTCATATACTAGTTAGTCCCTATGATTGAGGGTAGCTAGAAAGTTCCCAGCAATCCTTCTGGCCGACTCTGTGTTCATTTATAATCACTTTCCTCTGTTCAGCAAGCATTTATTAGAGAAATGCCATCCACTCTAGTGATAACAGACGTGATGTTTGCTCTGATTGCTAGGGTGGGGCGCTCGGTACTGTGGAGAGGCCGTCCATACAGAATGTACCATGGACTGCCAAGAAAACAAATAGATTCATCCTAGAGAGGGTTAAACCAGGCTGCTCCTTGGAGGCAAGGATTCTGGGGCTTCGCCTGACATACTTTGGACATGTTGTAAGGAGAGACAGGTCTTTGGAGAGGGACATCATGCTGGGCAGAGTGGAGGGACAGCGCAGGAGGGCAAGACCCTCTGTGAGGTGGATTGATTCAGTGACTGGGGTAATCAGGATGGGTGTGTTGGAGGCAATGAGATTGGCACAGGATAGAGCAGGGTTTAGGGCTGTTGTACATAGGGTCGCTATGAGTCGCAAGCGACTCGACGGCACATAACAACAACAGTTTGAAGTGCTGTGAGGGTGCAGGAAGAAGAGCAGTCTGCTCTGCCAGGTGGACGCAGAGAAGATGGCTTGGCTGTTACTGGGCCCCGGCTTGCAGTGACCCTTGGGTTTCAGTACAGAGCTGCCTCGTGGCTGATTGTTCAGAAGCAGATCACCAGCCTTTAATTTCAAAATGTTCTGGGTTGACTCCACCTTCTAGCCTTTTGGTTGGCCTTTTGGCTGACCCTATCAGCTGTCTGTACGACCCAGGGCCTGCTGGGAACATACAGAGAGGAAGAGGCCTGAGAAGAGGCCTTTGACATAGACCTTGAAGGATCTCTCAGAAAGATGTTTGTTGCAAACCGAAGTGTGGGGTGTGGCGATAAACCTGCAGAACAGATTTTGACTCAACAGTACTTACTGTCTCTAAACTATAACAATAAGGAGCCACACTGGTTTACACTACCTGTAATGCAGCATGTAGACACATGCCAACCCAGAGGTTGGTGGTTTGAACCCAACTGCTGCTCGCAGGAGAAGGATGTGGCAGTCTGCTTCTGTAAAGGTTACAGCCCTTTGTATGCAAAACCAATACAGAATAATGTTGAAACCAGTGGAAAAAAAAATTTTCTTTTAAATGAGGTTATTACAGCTTGGGAAACCTGTAGATTAACTCTGCTCTTGCCTTTTCAGTTGAAATTTACTTGAAAGCAGATACAGAAGGGCAGGAAAGTGCCTGTAACCAATAAATACAGTAATACTTGCCTGTCAATAAATACAAGTGACACTGATTTTATTAAGGAAAAAATGAGTTTTAGAAAAGTGTTTAGATTTTAGTAGCTTATTTATTGAGAAGTAATCATTTGCTGATGCTACTCTGAAGTGTGATAAACACCTGTAAAAGTTAATCTTTTGAATAAATTATGCAGAATAAGGTAACAGCTGAAGCCCTGTTAAGAGGAATGTTTGTTTCTAATCTTCAAGGGAGAGCCTGAAGGTGGGCAGGAGATACCTGCTCCGGATTCTACCCCTGCAAGTGTTTCAGCCACAAACCTGAGCATCACCTTACAAGGGGAAGACAGGAGTGATGGGAGCAGCTTACCCTCATCTTCTTCTGATGAATCTGTCCCTCATTGCAATGCCAGCTTTAAAGACGACGCAGGTGAAGACACAGCACTATTGGGTGCGTAGTTTGCAGCTTATATAACACTAATGTTATGAAAGAGAACTAATACAATAGAAAGACAAAAGCATAAAAAATAAAAACCTTTGATGTACATTTTTTATGTACATTTTGATAAATGTTTTTCAAATGTAAATGTGTGTGTGTGTGTGTGTGTGGTATGTATATGATTTTAAAGGAAGCAGGCAGAGCACCATTATGTGCTGTTGTGTAACCTAACTTTTCCACATAATACATGAAACTCTTGGTATGAACAAAACCATACATCATTTTTTAAGCTACATTGTAATACATTTTTAATTTACTGAAACTTATGTAACCCATACCCTGTTGAACTTTTGGGGTTTCCCCTTTTATTTATAACACTTTTGAGACCATTGTGTTACATGTCTACCACTTGGCTAAGTGCTTTCTGCTTGTATATGTGCTATACTTGCTTTTCTTACTTCTCTTCTGAATTCCCTGTTTCCTCATTGGCTTGATTTTCCATGGAGATACTTTTTTTTAATTTTGGTGTACCCTAGAATTGGATCTGACTGGTTGCCCCTCCTTCTCCAGCAGACCATTTGGTGAATTTGAACTGCACACCTTCGGGATTGCAGTGCAGCTTCTTGCTACTAGGCCACCAGAGTTCCCCGAGATACTACATTTTTAATGTTAAAAATATTATTTATCGTGTTAGATTTTTCCTCTCCACTTTTTCAAATGTATTTTGACAGAAAGAAAGAAGGGTTGGTTGGGGTTTCTTCCCTTTTGAGATTCCTGATTTATTCATGATTCTGTCTTTGACCTCATACCCACTTAGGAAGGCCTGTGACGCTGTGCACACTTGGGATTTAGGTTTGTTAACCCTGAGCTGGAGCTGTTGCCATTGCACCTAATAACAACCTAGGAAGGATTACAGATACTGAGCTGTACTGTGCTGCATAGGGGATCTGGGGGTGTATCCCATAGGAAGTTGTGCTCCTAGCCCAAAGGCTCTGTGGGAGAAAGGTGGGCCATCTCCTCCCATGTGGTTTGAAGCCCCTGAAAATCCATTGAAGGGTCAGGTGTGTAGAGTCGGTGCCAACTCTACAGCAGTGAGTTCTGCTGGTATCGGCGGTTCTGTAAATCCTTATTCATATAGTTTAGGGTATGACACAAGGATCTAATGTAGTATTTTTTTTATTTAACTTTTAACTTCACTCACACCATTCACTGGCATTGAGTTGGTGACCCTCAGCCTCCATTAGGTTTCTGAGACTGTAAGTCATGAAAGAAAGGAAAGCTGCCTGTCTTTGTCCTAAGGAGCTACGAATAGATATGAATCATTAGAGTTAGCAGAACAATTCGATACAGACTATACCAGCTTACTGTCCTAAAAATTGTTTGAAAGCCACTGCCATCAATGTAGTTTCTAACAAACAGAGAGACCTGCTAACGTTTTTGAGGCTGCAGATCTGTGCAGGAGGTGACTGCTCCCCTCTCTCCTGCAGAGCATCTGGTGGGTTTGAATTGCCAGCCTCCTGGTTAGCACAGCACACGGTGCACTACAGCACCAGAGCTCTTTCTAACACCGTTTGTTATCCTCAGGTCGACTGGCTCACAGCTGACCGACCCTTCAGCATGTTTCCATCAGCAGTAAACCGCACAAGGGAGATTGCCCACTTTTTCTCACGGAGCAGCTGCTGGACTCCAACAGGGCACCTTTGGGTTGGCAGCATGGTTCCTTACCATGAAGCCATTGCCAGTGTCCTTGGTTCTCAGCACCATATCTAAGGTTTTATTGTCAGGTTCAGGGTTACAAAGATTTTTCTTCCGTTTCTGCACGTTTTATGTCCTTGATTCATTGTTTTATTTGAAAAATACCCATTTGTCCTGCTACCATTTGTTGAAGAGACTATTCCCCCCACTGAATGGTTTCAACAAATGGCAATTTGTTGAAAATCAGTTGGCCATTGACATGGGTTTTGCACTCTCGGTGCCATTCCATTGCTCTTCATGAATACCCTTTTGCTAGTACCACCCTGTTTTGACTATAGTTTTGCATTCAGAGGTATGAATCATCCAGCTTCACTATTCTTTTTCAGGATTTCCTTACCTGTTAAAGACCACTAATAATTCCATAAATATTTGAGGATTAGCTTCCCTTTTTTTTTGCCAAAAAATGCTGGAATTTTGGTAGAGAGAACATTTAAATTTCTGTGGATTGCTTTGGGTAGTACTGATATTTAATAATAGTAAGTCTTTTAGTCCATGATCACAGCATGTCTTATTCATTATTAAAGTGTTTTTATGTTCTGCAGCTTTCAATACACAAGTCTTTCATCTCTTTCATTAAATTTATTCTAAGCTCTTTTTTTCAGTTGCTGTTACAAAAAAATTGTTTTTATAATTGATTTTTTGATGGTTTATTGGTCATGTATAGAAATGCAATTCAGTTTTGCACGTTGATTTGTATCCTGCAGTTCTGATAAATGCTACGATTGTGTGTATTCTTTGGGGTTTTATATATAGTGAGCGAGCTCTGGTGGCCTCGTGGTAGGTAAGTAGCTGCGCTGCTAACTGCAGTGCACATGGTTTGAACCTACCAGCTGCTCTATGGGAAGAAGATAGGCCAGCTGTCATCCTTATGATTTATGGCCTCTGAAAACCCACCAGAGGCTGAGCTGTTAGTTTCAACTTGATCAACAACATAAAGAGGATCATGTATATCCTCTTATCCGTAAAGCGTAAAAATTTTCTTAAAACATTTTACAGTCTTTAAGCTTTCCCTCTCACACTTTTTTGAGGGGCAGGACACATTGTGACCTTTGTGAGAGCAGGCACCCGTTGTGATCTTGCTGTTGATCATAGGAAGATAGCTTCTAGGCTTTTACTGTTGAGTATAATATTAGCAGTTGATACTTTTTAATACTCCTTAGGATACTGAAGAAAGAAGCCCTGATGGGGAAGTGCATAACATGTAGGGCTCTTAACCAGAGGTCAGTAATTCAGATCCATCAGTTACTGTGAGAAAGAAAAATGGGCATCTCCTGTTACAAAGATCTACAACCTTGGAAACAGTGGAGGGTCACCACAAGCTGGAATTGATTCGACGGCAGGATATTAACATGTTGAAGGATTTCCCTTCTAAGTTTGTTGGGGTTTTTGGTTGGTGTTTTGGGTTGGTTTTTGTGTGTGTGTTCTTTTTTTCTCCATGAAAAAGGATGTTGGCTCCTTGTCACATGGTTTCTTCCTAGAGTCTGTGATTTGGTTGTTTCTTTGTCTTTATTCTGTTAATGTGGTGTACTGTATTGGTGTATTTTTTTTATGTTGAACCACTTTTGCATTCCTGGAATAGATTCTGCTTGGTTACTGTGTATACTGATAAAATGCTGTTGGATATAGTTTGCTAATGCTTTGTTGAGAATTACTTGTTTTTCTTCTAAGAACTATTCCATTACCGAAAGTCAGACTGCATCCTTTTTGGTAGCAACATGCCTATCAGATATATTCCTTAGGTTGGAGGAATACCAGAAAACCACATACACCCTTAATTTGCATTGTATTAGCATATGGTTCCTTTCCTGTACTCTTGTTAAGTTATAATGGTGAGTAAAGCCAACAGTGTATGTGAGGCAGTTGTGTATATACTTTTCCTTGGGAACCATTTGGAGAAAGGATTGTATTTTTATCATGTACATTTTATTTCATTCTTACTGTAATCTGTTTCTTGAATTTCAGTCACCACCTGAGTGCCTGTGTTTGTGTAAATGAAATTCACAATGTGCTGGCTGATTGACATGGGTGACTCTCCCTTGCTTTGTTGTAGAGATGGGCAGGAGTGATCTTCAGCGTGGAGGACCAGTCTCCTAGGGCACACACCCAGGAGTGGCAGCCAGCACCACGGACATGGCTCCAGCCTGCAACTAAAGGACATTTTAATTTTTTACTTTAGCACATAGTTTGTATATTTGAAAGTAATGTACATTCTTTTACCTTTCAGATTGTAGCTTGGTACACAAAAGGGCTAAGATATTTTATTCTTAAGTAGACTTTATAAATAGTCTTCTATTTACCTACTAAAATAGATTATGTATAATAAGCAATATTATACTGTGTGAGACTCCTACAAAGGAGGTGATAGGGAAGCACACTAATACAAAAAACAGGTGGTGTTTCTAAACTTTAGAAATAGCTACTGTGCTACTGTACAAAACAAAATCAGTTCTATTTCTTGAGGATGTTCTTAGGATAAAGCACATTTATTTTAGACTAGTTGACATGAAAGTGTATAATTCAATAATTGATCAGAGGAGTTTTCCCTGGAGGAAAACCTTTTTAAAAAAAAAAATCTTTGAACTTGTAAGCAAGATGATATATAATTTTCTTGCACACTTGTATTATATATAGAGATTTCAAAGCCAGAAAACACCTTTTCATTGTGTTTTCTATTTGAAATTAATAAGAAAAGCACTAGATGACTTTAAGATTTGCATTTTCCCATTTTATTATCTTATTTCTTGTGACACTTTGATAGTGAGAGGAAGTTGGCACTTTTTAACTTTCACCCCATTACAAGTAAAAGAATTCTGTATTTCAGAAAAGCATTAAGTTCTTTGTTGTTTTGTAGCAGTAGGCATACTGTTTTCTTAAAAAATGATGTATGTATGCTATTGGTTCCAACGGTAATTTAAAATTAAATGAGTTGCTAAAAAAATGTTGCTTCTTGTTGTTGGAACAAATAAACAACTCATTTTGTGTAATAGTTTTTAAGCAAACGACTAATGTGACCTTCCTTGACTTTTTCCCCTTTCGTTTTCTCATTTGTTTTTAACTGTTCATTAAAGGAATAGACTAAAGTGCAGTGCTCTGTAAGTTTTATAAATTACTAAATAATCGCCCCCCAACACCGCCCCCCTTTGATCTTCTATTGTTATGAGGCAGTTATTTTACAGAGCATGAAATTCTTAATTCTAAACTAGTTACTGTGTGTATCTTACATTTAATTTTGATGCAAAATGTAAAATTTTTTTGCATATAAAATACTTAGAATTATGGAGAATTTAGTCTTAGAGCTATACCTCACATATGAGGTCTTATATAGCTTATTTTCAAGCTATATACTGTATTTTTATTGTATATTTTACAATAGTTTGATAGCGAAAGTAAACCAAGTGATTTTGACCAACATAAGCTGAGGCCAAATGCAACATGAAGGGCTCTTAAAATATAAAGTTCTTACTCAGGAGCCCTTGTTTTGTGTTAACAGACAGCTTTCAAAATAGGTTTCCAGAACAGCTGTTTTCTTTGAAATCGATGTGAATAGGAAAATGTCTTTGATTCTCTACCAAATAGTTTGTATTGTCAGAAACATGACAAGAGAAGGTTGCTTTAATTCATAGTTCTTTCCAATACCCAAAATCTGACTCATTTAAAAAATTAGGACAAGTTGAGTTATATTTGTAATTACAGAAATATGACTTCCTCATTAGTAGCTTTCAAATAGACCTTTCCTTAAATTCAGAAGTTTGAAAACTACGTTAAGAAATCAGAAGCCATCAGGATAATCTCATCCTGGAAACAGTTTAGCAAGAGGAGATAAATATTCTCAAAAAGTCTCCTTCAATGGTACTTTAAGATAGAAATATGCATGATAAAGAAGGGTCAAATATATTAGCCTTTTCCTTGAAAGGAAAACAACTTAAGACGCTGTGGGGAATGTAGATGAATAGAGTAGCGAATCAGACCAATACCATATAGTTGGTTTATTTAAATTGTAATAATTCTCCTTCTAACAAATGTCATGGGAGTAGTTTGTTCACAAGTAACTGTAGAAACAGTTTTGAGGTTTTTTTTGTTTGTTGGGTTGGTGTTTTTTTTGTTTGTTTTAAAAATTACAGGCATCATTTTGAAAGAGGACATTTATGCATGCATCTGAAGCCCTTTTAGGGTCACTGCCTGCCTCCTGCCCCAGTGTCATCTGGACTGGTGTCTTCTGGGTTTCCTATCAGAAAGCCACTGAAGGTCCAGAGAAGTAAATGCACGGCCTCACTGCACAGGTGATAACTGTTTTTCACACTCTGTCTTAGAGATCTTTGTTGTCCACAGCCTTTCTGGAAAGGTTCTTCTCACACCTACTGAGGAATGATGACAATGAAAGGCCGAATTGCAGTGTATCCATAAGCAGTTGGCTCTCTCTGGATACACGATGACAAAATCTCCTGAAGCGAACCACTGGTCTGACCTCAGTAATGTCAGAGAAACCAAAGCTCAAAGACTGATAAAATCATAACAAAAGGAATAATAATAATAAGCCTTTATGACTAGGTCTGTTGCAGGATTCCTGGGTAGCCCACCAATTAAGCATCCAAAAACACTTAGAAGCTTAGTATAAGCTTCTTTTAGACCCTTAGTTTAAACTCAGGGATGTTGCTAGTTTTCTATTACCACAAATGTGCTTACTTGAAAAGCCACCTTAAGTTTCTCCAGCTAATTTGTTTCTATTACCACAAATGTGCTTACTTGAAAAGCCACCTTAAGTTTCTCCAGCTAATTTGTTTAAAAACACTTGTATAAAAGTGAAATATCTGTATATTCACCAGTTATGTAGCTGCCCTTTTTCTGTAGAATTAAATATATAGATAACAATACACAAGAAATTGTGTATTTGCATTTACATTCATTTAAAATAAGGAGGCAATCTGTTTTACTTAGTAAATTGTAGGCTTATAGGTCAGTAAGGAACCTAGGGGAACTTGGGCTTTCTGTGTGCTTAGGCTGCTAAACTTGACAACCTTTTATAAGTAGACGGTTGTTGTTATATACCAACCCATAGCTTACTCTACAGTGGGTTTTCAGAGGCATTAAATCACAAGGGGGAGAGGACTGCATATGTTTTTCCTCTGGAGCAGCTGGTGGATTCAAACACATACCACATTAACAGATTACCACCAAGTCCTCAGAGCTCCCCCTATGTGTACACTAGAAGAATGAAAATACAGAGAGATTTCAAAAGCTGTTTACATTAGTGAAACACTTTAAAAATACTTTTAAAAAAAAGAAATATAATAACTATTTTCTACCTCAAACTATTATTTAGTGCTGTCATCTTTTTTTAACAGGTGATTTGAAGATATTCAAGCCAGAAATTTGAACTTGGAAAGCCAAAGAATTCAGAGTATTTTTGTTGAGCATGAGTTTGTTTATATTGCTTTAATCATAATTAAAAGTTGACTGCAAAGTTAAACCCAGGATAATACAGGGTTTTTGCTTTGAGTTTATTATTTTAAAATAGATACAAATTTTCTTCTGCTTTTAAAATTACTTAAGAATCTTTGATAACATAAATGTTTGAAACTCCTCCTTTTTTAAAGAAAATAACAATTATGTAATATTGAAACATTTAGAAGTGTACCATTCTCACTTGATCTGTTGCCAGATGTCATTTTAACAAATCAGCGTGGTGAGGATTTGTGTCTGTTTCAATATACTGTACCTGTTTTCTACTGTATTATAGCAACATCGTTTTGACTTGCACTCTGATGATCTAGGATTGACTTTCAATAAAATAAGCAGTCAGTTTATTAATCTTTCTTTGTAGTCATTTATTCATGCAAATAATTATCTAGTTTCCTGGTTTTTCTTAAACTCATCTAAGCCATTGTGGTTTAGGAAGTACAGCTTTTCTAGCTTACTTTGCTTTGATTTCCATCACATACCTGGGTGGTGGTTATGTGCTATCAGATCAATAGTGATTCATAGCAACTCTATAAAAAATATGAACCCTGCCTATCCTTACTGTTTCCAGCACACTTGAGCCCATTCATACAGTCAATCCAGACTTCCTCTCTTTCACTGATACACCACCTTTCCAAACATGATGTCCTTCTCCAAGGACTGGCCCCTTGTGACAACATGCCCAAAGTATGAGACTTAATTTTCAACTACCATTGCCTCCAAGGAGCACCCTGATTTTACTTTATTCAGGACATGCCTGTTTGTTACCTTGGATATTCAGCGTCATTTCTTCCTTAATATGCCTGGACAGTATATTCACACCAGGTGGGTAAAGAACTAATGAGGAAATGGTCAGTTTTGCCATCCCATCAAGTTTAAAGTGAACAGGTTGGTTTATCAGCAGAAGATAGGAGTTTCTCCATCAGCAAGGAAGAGGCAGCAGAGAATGCAGTGTGTCCAATGGGGCCAGCCATTCCTGTGCATCTCAGGGACTCAGGTGAAAGCAGCACATGAGAGCCAGCCTTTGCCCAAGCTTGCTGGAGGGCAGGGAGGTGCCATAATTGGCAGAACCAAGAGCTCTAACATTGACAGTCAGGCCTTCAAGCACGCTTGAGAATCTATCCTGACAGAAATTTTTTCTGTTGCCAACCTGAATTGTAACTGAATTATTAACTTCTTTAATATACTGCAAACTAAGAGTATGATTTTTGTGAGCTCTTTGTGACCATTGCAATGGATTGTGGGCCCAAAACTACAGTAAGAGCTCTACAGGGATGACTGGTGTTGGAATGTAGGACCATGAGACTTGTCTGACCTGGAAATGGGTTTAGTGCTCTTTGTGTTGCTGATGGAGGTCAGACTTGGCTAATGCCCCCCCACCCCTCGCCCATGTCATAAGAATTCTTCCTAGTACAAGATAGGAGGCATCTCACTCCCTGATTTCAAATCCTGCTACACTGCAGTGGTGGTCAAGACAGCGTGGTACTGGTACAATGACAGACACAAAGATCAATGGAATAGAATTGAGAATCCAGAAATAAGCCCATCTACCTATTCTCAACACTGGGAAAATTGGCAGCATCAGGATGGATGGTGAAGAGATTGAGATTGTTCACAGCTTCAGTGTGCTTGGCTCC